TATGGCCGCTTTCAATTTCATCTGGATAACGTTCCTCGGGCATAATTTGCAGCGCCGAAATGTGACACCGGGGAGCCATGAAACACGGTATCATCTCTGCAGCTGTTTCATCGTCGTGACAACGGCCATCGCCATGACGATCAGCGCGTTGAGAGGCAGAGTTAGCGTCCAGGACAGATGGATTAGAGTAAGAATAATGGTGCATCATTATTGCAGCACCATATGTTACCACTGTCTGTTACCATGGGAACACAAAAGTTCCATTACTGCTTGCCAATTGATGCAGTGTGAAATGGCCTCAGAGAACCCCTAGGTACATGACAGATTGCATGATGATGCCCTGGTCAAGACACCTTAGGCCCCAGGTCATAATTCAATATGACACCTCTGGGTTAGCTACAGCTTTCCTGTACATTTTATATGCAGTATTGCCATGGCAACAATTTAGGGCCTTAAAATTGTCCTGTATTTATTACCAGCGACCATTACAAAATTAAAGATAAAACATTAGAGACAAAAAATGGAGAAAAATAATACAGCTGCATCATACCTGAAACCAGGTTGCCAGTTTCAAAGCCAAAATTTTCAGTCAGAAAAGTCCATTATGATTTTGGTTAACCTTTTAAATTAATGGACCCAAAGCTGGAATTATTTTCCTCTTGATGTGTGATTAAACTAACGACCAGTTAGACGCCTCTTTATATCTTTAGATGGAAGGATTATTGTCAGGTATCTAATTCCATCTAATGGCCAGGGTAGGTAATGGGCAGTATTTGGCACCGGGGTGACACTTGTGTGATTAAGGCCATTGAAACTGTCTAGAAGAAAAAAAATTCTCCACTACCGTACTCCTTGTATTTTAGTGAAGGACCAAATTTTGTGGTCCTCAAACTTAAACCCAGGATGTACGATGTATTTTTTGACAGCTTGTTGGAAAAAAAAATCAAAATCAAAAGTCTTTGGGACTGCCTAAATTTCAGATGCTGTCTACCACACAGAATGAAGCAAAGTAGATGGAGATTGAAGCTTCGAAACGTCTTGTGTGAGATGATACATATTCAAACTCCCCCATCCAACTCACAAACATCATGCAATCATCACAGAATCTGACTCTGTGAATGCATTCCTGGGATAGCCATGTGCGGTACAGGATTCAGCTGTCTTGTCACTGAAAAAGCTGTCTTTAGATCATTGTAGATCCTTGTTGGCTCACACCCCCCGTTAAAAAGTTTAATAGATTCATATTGCATCAAAATTCTAGGATGGCCTACCATGTGCAGGTGCCATAACAGGGCTCGAAATACTGGGTGCATGTGCACCTTAGCACACCCAAAGTTGGAGCTGTGCACCCAATTTTTTTGCAACCAAATGTTTTTGTAGGTATTTTTGTACACATTTTGTACGTATAATAGTATACAGGATATTCTTGGCATCTTAGTGTCAGAAAAGTAATAAGATCTTTATTCTAGTACTTGTTTAAGATTCCATTAAGTTAAGTTACCTTCCATTTCAGATTCAGAAGCTCAGAAGAGGAGCTGTAAGATCTGGAGTTTAGGTTTTGCACCCAGAAAATTTTTTGTGCACCTAATGTTTTAGGTTGGGTGCACCAGTGCACCTATTCCCAAAGATGAATTTGGAGCCCTGCATAAGTTTGGCAGCAGCAGCCAGTGTGAATGAAAGCCTGGCAAATTGGCCTGAAATGTCAGACTGCAGATAGTCTGATCCTGCTGACCCCACAAGACGCCGCCATTTTCCCGACTTTGAGAACCCATGTACAAATGTCACGGACTTAGCTAGAACTCTGAACCTCGCTACCACAGGTCAACTACATCTGACCTCAATTCCTGTAGTGTGGATATCAGAAAAGGCTGGAGGGCACATGACTATATATATTATATCTGTGAATGAATTGTTGCCAAAGGTGCCACATGTTATTTTGCGTACAGACCAGTTTACCAGTAATTTTGATTCAGGAACAAGTTTAACCATCAGTGACTTTGAACTTTTACTGTAATATTGATTCATAACAGGTCTTATTATCTTGATAATTCGTTGATTTCACAGTAGAAAGAGAAGGAGGCACAGTTGAAACAACTGTAGTCATGCAAGACAAAACCCATTTTTTTTAGTTTGTGGTATGATGACTTGGCAGCGAGAGGTTGTCACAAAAACTGCGAACGTAATACCATTATAAATATTTCAATATTTTCAGTATGCAAGTTTCTAGATTTGTGTACATTCAACATTAATGGCAGAGCTCTCTACACAAGGAGATACACAAGGAAATTGTTACTCAAGCAACTGGATAAATTTTGAAAATTGTTTTCAAAATCTATCACGCACTTGCTTGAGTAACAATTTCCTTGTGTACATGTATCTCGTTACCTGGATGTCTAACCTTCATCGACTTTCTACACACATTAAAGATTATAGAGCTGTGTGTATATGTTATAGACTAAATGAGAATTGCTGGTAATAACTTGAAACACAAGTTCAAAAGGTTGTGTGAGAAAGTTATGGTTCCTATCTACAGATCAATAACTTATTTCCATGCAACTCATAAAAACTGTGAAGTTTCGACATTTTCCCATTATGCGAGGGTGTAGAAACATTTTGTTCTCAGGAGAGGTCTAGCAATCTGGAAAGACGTGTGGAGTTTTATTTTACTGGATTAAAATCAAGCAAGCAGGTAATTGAGTTTTATATCTGCTAATAGAATGTTTCATGTGTATCAAATTTCCTTATGTGATTTGTTAGCCTGATAGCTAGTGGAATATTCATATCAATGTTGAAATATATCATCAAACGTTCTGGAATTTTTTCTTCTGTCCCAATGATTTCTTCTGTTATCTTTGATTTTTTTCAAAGTTTTCAAATATATCTCTTTAAACCCCCCTTACTGACCAATCTATTGATAGTAGTACATGTATTTATTCATAGGCTCCTTGCTTTATAGTGTGCACTTTGGCTCTTTGCCTTGACTTTCAAAACTCCTTTTATGATGACTGAACAGTTAAATTATTGACAAGGGTTAAACCAAGCTGTAATGGTGCAAGGTCAATCAATACGTTTGGGTTAATTTCCTTTGATTCTGGTTTTCCTACACTGGCAAGTCCAATGCTCTGTGGCATACTTCAAATTGGCTCATGAAATATGGATGACGCGGGTTCTGTGAAGTTTTTGTGGTTTCACGGTGATGATGATACCAGTCAGTTGAGACAGTTCTCAGTACCCTTAAGAGGATTAAGATTTCTTCCCCAGAAGGAAATCAATTTCCTTGACTTGCAAGGATGTTGGGTCTTCCAATTTTCTCGTGACTGGACCTTTGACACAGTTTGTCAGCAGCTAGGATCAGTCACATGCATGATCCTGTAGTACAAGTGACAGGTTTAACCATAGAGAAGTCTAGCCTGGGTACCATCCTACTTGTATGCCAGGGCTCCCACACTCGCTTCTACTTGTTAGGGCAAGTGAGTGTGGGAGCCCCGGCATACAAGTAGGATGGTACCCAGGCTAAGAGAAGTCCACCGGAGAAAAAAAGATACTAGTCTACATTGATATTAACATAAGTCTACCCTTTAGCATCTTGATGCAAGGGGGGGTAGTGATTACGAATTACGCAAAATTTTCGCCGCCTATTACGAATTACGTTAAAGTCTCAGAGCTGATTACGACTTTACGATTTGCGGCTAATGTCCAATTACGAATTACGTTGATTTTTTCGGAGGCTGCCTACGAATTATGAAGTCTAAAATGGCCTGATTACGCCTTACGAAAAAGGGCTTGCAGGCCCTCCTTGATAGCTAGGACATTCCTGAGTCACACACTAGTGCTTTTCTTGCATATTGATACAGTTCTCCCTGAAATCATTGAAATGCAGAAAAACCTCCAAGACTCTTGAGCTTTAAACAATCCTGTCACTGTTCCACTTAATTTTGTGTTTAACACCTGGGTATGAAAAACATTACCAGCTGATATTCATCCACTTGGCATTATGTAATTACTACAGCGGTATTGTCTATACATTATAACTGGGCACGATGCCTGGTAATACATATCCTGTCCATGTGTGGTGAGGTATAAACAGTGCCCCTAATTGGCTCCCAGTTGTAGATATCATGTGTAAGGAATCCCAATGTATACCATACTGATATTTGTGCAACAATTTCGCAGAAGGATTGAGTTACGTATACCTTGGGCCTATTAGCTATACAGTCTATAATATAGGGCAATGGGAGGGTTCCTGCTTTAAAGTTAAACAGGTGCTAATTGTAAGATAAAGATAGTGCTCTTAGTCAATTTTCCAGTCATTTCTGTGGTAAGTATTTTACCCTATTATATTGGGTGAGGTTATTGGAGTGTGGTCTTCCAATGTGTGATATGGAGGCATATATTGCTACATCTGCCATATTGTTGTTTTCTGGCTGTAGCTTATTAGCTTTGTTTACACGTGTCTAAGCTAGGTTTGTTTATCCCTGAAAGATATCCTTGCTGACAACCATCTTTTTAGTTTACATTTCCTAACTTTGGATAGGCAAATGCCAATGAGGTAGAAAAACTGCGTGTGTGAAGTTACAGATAAAGCTGGCACAATTTAGTCCCATTATGATGACCTTTGCGATTCCTTTGTGGGTCATGTTTGTACTTGAAGGTCAAGGGTCACTGATCTTTGACCTAGCAGAACATCTGACCCTTTGGAAATTTTGCATCGGAATTCTGAAAACTCGGAATATTCCTCTAGAATTCCTTCTCTTATCACCATAAGCAAACAATCTCCCATACATGGTGAAGCATCTCCAAACAATGAAAATATCATAACACAGAGGATGTCGTGGAAATATTCTTTCTTTGTGTATACAGAAGTTTCTGGTATTTGGAGATGGCATATTTCGGGCACTTCTTTCAACAGGTCCTTTGTTTACAAACACTGCGATCACTCAATCCTGGAGAAAACAGTTTGTCCTGTCTGCATGTTGAAGTCTCTGTCTGTTATTCCCCAGCCCCAGCTCTGCTGTGAAGAGGTCACCATGCCAGAGTTGAGAAACAGTCATGCTCTACTAGCAGACGGAATGTGAGAGACTGGTAAGTACTCAGACATCGCTTGTCTTCCTTTGTGTGTGTACGTGTACGTTCTGTCTGGGGCTTACAGAAACACTGTTGTGAGTATGTCTTTTAAAGCCTAGATTTAAATCAAGGGTTTAGCAGTGTTGTTCAGGGTTTCTCTGGGGCTTTTGAAAAGTGTGAAAGCTGTTACAGAATGTATTCACTTCAACAGGGCTTGAAATATTTCTTTCTTGATACCTGCACCGGTGCAGTTAACATTGGGTGTTCTATGCAGGACTGCCCTACCATGCACCTGAATATTTTACCTGCACTACACAGACTTTGAGAAGTATGGATTCATACTGAAAACTATTCAGAAACCGGTACCATTGCAATTGTATTTTTAAATACATCATAGGTAGTAACATTCAATGCAGCAAAAAAAAAAGCCACATAGATGCGTACACCAACGTCATATAAAAATCCAGTACATGGACCAGTGCAGGTTAGGTGCAGGTAGACATCAGAAATACCTGCACAGCTCCAATTTTACCTGCACTAACCTGCATATACCCAGTACATGGACCAGTGCAGGTTAGGTGCAGGTAGACATCAGAAATACCTGCACAGCTTCAATTTTACCTGCACTAACCTGCACATGCACCCAGTATATCGAGCCCTGTTCGTATACGATAGCAGGTGGCATGAGGTTGAAAACAAGCACATGTATTATGACTGCTGTACTATCTACACACACTTTCCAAGAATGTAAGACAGTGAGTGAGTGTGAGTGTAAGGAGGGCCTACAAGGGGGGGTAGTGATTACGAATTACGCAAAATTTTCGCCGCCTATTACGAATTACGTTAAAGTCTCAGAGCTGATTACGACTTTACGATTTGCGGCTAATGTCCAATTACGAATTACGTTGATTTTTGCGGAGGCTGCCTACGAATTACGAAGTCTAAAACGGCCTGATTACGCCTTACGAAAAAGGGCTTGCAGGCCCTCTGTAAGAATTATAGTTTGAAGCTCAGCCAACCATATCGGAAGCAAAAACTAGTTAGAAGTGATCTACGATGAGACCGTATGTGCTGAAATAACATTTTACACTTTACACCTGCCAAGATGAATAGTTCTGCATGGGGAGTACCGTATGATGAATATATCCCCATGGTGAGAATAGCACAGTGCCGTATGATGAATGCTTGATAAGCTTCCGTACTCTCAATTCCGCATAGCTCTTCCTGTAGTCCTGCTATTCAATATTTAATCACTCTTGGAATTAGTGCAGTGTTTTTGGAAGACCGCTGAAGGAGTATCCATCAATTATGAATACAGTTTGATGTTAGGCCGTACCAATTTAATTTGTTGATTCTTGGATTCGCCTTTTTATTTTTTTCTGAGTTGCAAAAGAAAAAAGGTTCTGGTTCTGAGTCAACTCAAGAATGCACATATTTTGCCCCCAACAATTGAGGAAAGTCCTTTTCTTCCTAGTCGTTACAGTTTTTCCATCTATCAATGCAGTGGTTTGATTACAAGTTGAAAATTCATTGTTTAGATATTAACCCAGCCTTTTGTGTTGACTTCAGGGCTCCTATCGTAGCATTTGGAGCTATAGTAGGATGCCTAGACCGGTTTTTATTTATTTTTGCTTCATATTTTTAATGAAAAAATCCGAAAACCAACAAATGAAATTGGCGTGGCCTAATAGAAGTGATCCCATGCACATGAGAAACAGAGCGTATATGTCTTCATCTGCACGACTGTTGGAGTGCCGGTAAATTGCATTGCTTGAGCTTTCTATACTGGCCCCCTCGCCGTCATATGTTCTCTATATTTAGTTTAAATCGTATTACGGTAGTGTAATCCTTTTTGTCTTGCTGTGAAAAGAGCATGTTAAAGCAATATGAATTTATTACAGTTCCCAGTGTCTTGACACCAACATGTAAAACTTGCAAGACTTTAATTGAAATACGGAATGGAAGCTGAGTAGCCATCAATTTTTATGGTTTCACAAGTTTCGAGCTTGGGAGGGAAGTAGCAGGTATTTGTTTTGGACCAAATTTATCTCTGTTAGAAGAGTTAGTAATAAATGTTGTTAAACTACACACTCTAGGTACATAAAGATAGTGATGTTATGCCTGCCATATTATACTGTAAATCTTGAATAATTTGGAAAGTATGTAAAGATATATTCCCTGGTATGTATTTGCTGCAGATTACATCTATATTTCAAACCTTTACTAATGCTCCCTGCTTTCCTGTCTAACTGATAAAGGGATTATGGTGTATCACATCAGTTCTGAGTGCGTCACATGCCCCAAGCCGCCTCATCATTGTATGAGAGTTAGATTCCACACGCACACACATATATACAGCCTTATCATTTACAATATAGATAGTAGACTTGATGGATTATAGGCAATCTTTCATTTGCCTTCTCTGCATCATGTGCATGTTATTTCATCAGTGAAGGTTAGACAGTCTAAGACATCCATCTAATAAGATACTGGTATGCCAAAAAATAGTTACTCAAGCCACTGGACATGATTTTGGAAATGGTCAGATGTTTCAAGTAGCATCCACTACCTTTCATAAATCTCAAGATCAGGGTCTCAAGATCAACAGGTTTATAACTACAAACTTTTAATTAATATGCAAATAAAGTATGTAAAGTCTGATTAGTAGTATGTGGTTACAAACCTGTTGATCGTGAGATCTCACCAGTGTCATCAACACAAGGTTGTCGATGCTACTTGAAACGTCTGTTTTCAAAATCATATCTTGTTTCTCGAATAACTTTTTGGTGCAAGTTGTTTCTCCCCCAGAATCTAGAGATCCACAGAGTTTCTTGCCTCCTTGTGTATTTCTCCCCAAGTCTACACCATAATAGAGGTTATAGTGGGAGGAAGAGAGCATCCCTTCCAAAATCACATCCACTAATAACTGTTGCTTGAGTCACTGTTTTTTGTGATGTGCATGTTGTTTCTCCCCCGGAATCTAGAGTTCCACAGAGTTTCTTGACTCCTTGTGTATTTCTCCCCAAGTCCACACTGTAATAGAGGTTATAGAGGAAGAGAGCAGCCTTACCAAAATCACATCCACTAACTGTTGTCTTGAGTAACTGTTTTTTGTGCATGTTGTTTCTCCCCGGAATCTAGAGTTCCACAGAGTTTCTTGCCTTCTTGTGTATTTCTCCCCAAGTCCACACCGTAATAGAGGTTATAGTGGGAGGAAGAGAGCATCCCTTCATCACCTGTAGCACCGAGTGGTGATGATAGAACACCCGTCCGCGGCTCCATGGTTTATTGCTTCCCCGTAGTGCCGCGTACTCAGCTGCTCGGAGGATTGAACTTCCCATAAAGACTAAAAGTAATAAAGGACTCGCCATCAATTATAAGAGGCTGCGGAGAAGGCTGTGATAGTGAAGCACCTGTAGCGCTGACAAATGTCAGGTGTTTCGTCCTGATGAAAACGGATCCTTATCTGGGTACCAATCAACCTCAGGTGCTTCAGGTCTGTTGTCTGGCCCTGGAGGAGATGGTTACAGTAAGGGTCACAGGTTCACGCCAACACTTCTGTTGGACACCTTCCAAAGTTTTTATGAAGCAGGTTTGAGCTGGACATCTTCCAAAGTTTTTTTATGAAGTAAGGTTTAACTGGACATCTTCCAAAGTTTTTATGAAGCAAGTTTAAACTGTGAAACTTCCAATGCAAGAAGTTGGGTTTTTGACTGCACAGCTCCAGTCTTTGTCAAGGATGGGGCAATCCACTGCTTTAAGTCGCCATATTGGTATTTTGTCTGCTACATTTATATGCAACTTGCTGTTTGTTGTACATAACACAAAACACCAGGTGACCTTATCTTGACTTGTACCTGATTAAGTCAGATTATTGAAGTAGTGTGATGTGTACGACTGTACGTACATCTATTCGTATCTGCGTGTACATATTATACGAGCAATGATACTTCAAGTTTTGACATGAAGTAAACCTGTATGTACCAGCCTTGAACTAAATGAAGCATGTGTTTTGATGCCTTCTTCGGAATCCAAATAAGTTTTCTTGTAATGCCTCTTCAATATCCAAAATTGGAATCCATGCTCTAGCTGTGTTCACTGGTGCACGTGGCTGGAAATAAAGGCTTTCCTGGTATACAAGTCTGGGACTGATGGAGTGTGCATAATGCTACACATGAATCAAGAACGCCAACAGAGGGAGGCCTACCTTTTATTTTATTCCCTACAAGTGTAGGGATTACAGTGTATGCCCCTAATTTCTCCACATGTAAGAGGGAAGGGGAAAAGCGAATCTTGGGAAATCAAGAGGTGGAGGCTTCATTGGTTGCTGTGTCCTTCCTCAGATCAGGTTGAGGTATTGTCAGGCGGTGTGAAACCCCAGAGAGGAGCTGTGGAGATGTAATATGTTCAGGAGACCAACTTGGACGATGATGAGTTTTTCTTCAGTTTCAAATATCGTACAGCCACAAGTCTGAATTGTAATGGGTGTAGGAATGAAATGGCAATTCTTTGGGACACATGTTGCCGTGAAAAAGGTTTGTATGAACCATTCTTTATTCATGCGAAGCTCAAATCGGCCTGCAGATTGCTTTTTCTTGAGGTCATGAGGAAAGAGGTAAAGGCCAGAAGAAATATACATGAAGGTGTATAACAAAGATACAGTTCACATCATTCCTAATAAATCTATGCACAAATTTTACACATACATAATACATACAAAAGAGTGAGTGCTGTTGAATACAATTGAAAAATATTGTCTTAAGACAACCTTTTAAAAGTTAACTTCTTGTGTTATTATCGAATACTCGTGTTTTCATTTCAATATCTTCGGTGAGACCTCAGCTGTTGCCAGTGTTCCGTCCTGTGAGGTAGGGTTATACATGGGCAGAGTTGTGCGGCTGTGAGGTAGGGTTATACATGGGCAGAGTTGTGCGGCTGTGAGGTAGGGTTATACATGGGCAGAGTTGTGCGGCTGTGAGGTAGGGTTATACATGGGCAGAGCTGTGTGGAAAGACGTT